CTTTCAAATTAAGAGATCACTGTAGTACTTAGGGATCGAATCCACAAGGACTTAGATTGTTGCACAATAAATTTTAGGTTCAAATCAAGCTAAGGAAAAACTAAGTGAATGTAATGCAAGTAATGAAAAGATAGCAGCAAATCGATTGTGAGAAGGTTTTAAATCAAAGAGAGAAACGCTAGGTCTTGGGAATTTCGCAGGTGATTCCGAATTACAAATCTAGACAGAATGTTAGGAGTTTATTAAGCATTGTTCTTGAACTTGAAACACTAATATAAAACCAATCAACTTCCGCTGCATAGATTATCTATGTCTAAATCCTAGAATCTCAAATTCCTTTGCAAATCCTATCAATTCAAACAAGCATTAAAATCAGGTCCAATTGTTCACAAAATCCTAAACCAAATTCTTTTGCAGATAAGAATTTTGCTCATCTAAGATTAGTTCTGGTGATTAACAATACTTCCGCATCTATTAATCAACCTAATATCAGATTCTAAGTCATGAAGCTAGAATAAGCAATAAACACAAATCAAGATGAAGAACTCTAATGATTTTACCCTAACAATTCAATTCAACCTAGCAATTCATCATCACCTTTGAAAAACCCCTAAACCTAACAAGCAAACTACTCAGACATGATCAATGAAACAGAAATCATAATTTGAATAGAAAGCATAAGAGAAATCAATAGAAGAAATAAAGGAGTTCAAAATCCTCTCTAAAGGAGAATGATTTATCTCTCCAAAAACTCTCTAAAAATCGCTCTCTTAATCTCTTTGTAAAATAAAGCTTAGGTCTAAACAATGACCTTAAAAATCCTTTTATAGACCCAGAACACAATTTGGAGCGAAACTGCAAATATATAAAACTTCTGGGCGAACTTGTAAGTCTTCAGAAATCTTTAAAAACTCGGGCAAGATTTGTGCACTTTTGCACGGGATTTGCACGTGCACTGCATAATTTCTGCTCGAGTGTACAATTTTTGCACGACTTGATTTCTTCAGCAACATCTTCTCTTTTGCTCCAGAATGCTCCAATATCTCCAAATAAGCTCCAAACATATCCAAACCTGTAAAGACTCAAAAAGATTCGAAAATAACAAAAAGACTCTATAAACAAGACTTATATCATGGTCAAAAACCCACAAAAACCATGATATATCATATACACTGAGAATAGTTAACTGCATAAATCATAGCTGAACAATATTGCATTTAAATAAGAAAAGTAATGATAGAGGGGCTCACAATCTTCTCTAGAAGAGTGTAGATTGTCTCTTACAAAGCTTTGGATCAATATCTCTCAAGGTCTCAATATAAAATCAGATAAGATACAAACCAAATAATAGCTGAAAAACCTAAAATACAGACAAAGCTCGAATAGAGCACTTTTGCAATTAGTAAAACTTCTGGACAAAACTGTAATTTTTTCTTCATCTTTTAATAAACCCGTGACTCTTTCTCAGGAATGGATGACGAGCGTCACCAATTAGGTGGTGACAAGCGTCACCAATGAACATCATCGTCTTTATTTGCTCAAGTTGGGATGAATTCCTGTTTTGCTCCATAATGCTCCAAAATCTCCAATTATGCTCCAATCACGCATTAACCTATAAAGACTCTAATAAGACTCTAAAAGACCAAAATACTCTATAAATATGACTTATATCATGGTTAAAAATCATGATATATCAACTCACCCATACTTAGCTGTTGATTGCCCTCAAGTAAAACAGCAAACTACGATCAGAGTCGAGGTTTGAAAAACATGAGAACTCACCTTCTCTGTAGATCATTGTACTAACTGCTTATCATATAATTCACACACTGCAAGAATCAATCCAAATCAAACCACCATGTATTTCTCCTTAGACATTCACAACATCCCAGATTCAACTCATAAATTCACAGCGTTATCCATTAACCATCCTTGCTAAACCTCATCAATGGTCTAAATATTCAAGAACCTTTTAGACTCATTCTCATATTATACCTTAACAAATCAGCTCTGCAATCTATCAACTTTTGGTACTCTTTCTCTCCCCCGGACTTATTCTTTTCTCATACTGTTTTTTGTATTATTACACCAAGTGTAGGTAAATAATGATGTCACATGATAATCCTAATATTACTTCCACCTATGATCATCTCTTTTAAATGAAATACTGAGATCATTGGAAAATTTCCTAGCCCTTCACCCAAAGAGAATCATGTCATCTTTGAAATTTTAAAACAAGGGAGAGAAGTACCATTATTTTTCAAACATTGCATGCACTTTATCAAATATGAATAAGGAGTCAACCTCTATGAACATCAAATTCACTAACTTAGTCTTTTAAAAGCTCAAGTTTATATGGATTTTGCTGGAACTATGGATGTTTCTTGTTAACTGGCCAGTCTTTGGATTTTTTATTGGTCAGATTATGGTATGAATTCTACAGCAGTGGTCCCTCAGATGAAATAATCAAGAGAAAAGTCTTAGTTTTCAACTAGTTTTGACTCAATAAAACAGGTTTTTGACACAACTAACTAGCTCTCATAACAAAACACAATGTCAACAACTACTTTCCTTAGACTTAAACAACACCGTCCTTAATGTTATCAAGCCCAAAATTGACAAAATAAAAGAAATAATACAGACAGAATAAAGAAAACCAAATGTTTATCTGAGTCTACAGCTAGTGACGGTCGTCACCCCTCCTCAATATCGACCTCTGTAATGATCTAGGTCTTCACCCAATTATCAAATCACTCGAATTTAATTGATATTTAATTTGGTGAACGAAAAACTATCTATCTCTCTACTGCAAGAAGAAACACTGTCTTAAGTTTAAGTTTGTTTTGGATTAGTCTTTAACTATATATGTAATATGTGATACTTTGCTCTTGTGTCTTTGTGTGGATAATCTTCTTTCTACTACTCATGGTTAAGCTCTTTTTCACTTGCAGTTAGTTTTTGGATGTTTGTAAATACTTTGAGGATTATGTTTAGGACTTAGGTAGTAATCGGGGATGATGATGGTTTGGAATCGTAATTTTGATTACCCTAGTAAACATGTTATTAAATTATTTGACTGAGATATCCAGTTTTAACTTCATTTTACAATAAAGGATCACAATATATACAGGTACTTCATAGGCAACATCAAAAGAAGATAAGTTAAGAATGAAATGGAACCGATAAGTAAACATTTCAAGGAGTTGAAAAGAAAAAAATGTAGACATTTCAAGCACATATATAGGCTACATACATCAAAAAAGACAACAACGTAATGGTTAAGTGTAGAAGATAAATGATTTACTGGTGAAACAGAGAGGAATAGAGGTTATAGTTTAAAGTCTTCGGAAAATTGTAACACTTTTCCTGAAATTTATTTCATGCCATTATAACATTACAAGCGTCTCCTGACCATAGAGGGTTTTGTTATGATGTAGTTACAATCTGTAAATGCAGACCTTTCAATGGATTACATAGTGACTGAACAGAAGGAGGAGAAACTGTGAAGAAATGTTGTGTTTCTGCAGGTTCTTGAGGGAAAAAAGTGACTTTTTGCAGAAGACAAAGTGTTGCTGCTACGCCAAAACTTCATGGTACGGTGTAGGAATACTGATCCCAGGAGTATCTGGAGGCATCTCAGGCAAAGCATCATCGTTTCCTTCAAGATAGTTCATCACTTGGATCATGCTAGGCCTGTCCTCTGGATTGTACTGTGCACAGAGTAGACCAAGCTTCAGTACCATCTCTATCTCCTTGCAGACATAATCTCCTTCAAGTCTAGCATCTCGGGCACCGACCAAGTTCCCTCTTTTAGAGCATTGACACACCCAACTGATTAGATTGAACTCGTCAGGCTTCCCTGGATACTCTATGAACATTCTCCCACAGGCAAACTCAAGTAGTAATGCCCCAAACGAATAAACATCGGCTTTGGTCGTAGGCATCCCTGTGATGATAAGCTCTGGAGCCACGTACCCTACGCTTCCAAGCATTGGGTTCCTGTTTGTGCCGAACATAGCCAGGCCAAAGTCTAGCCTCCCGTTTAGATCCTCGTCCAAGAGTACATTAGCCGCTTTGACATCTCTGTGGAGAACCATCTGCTCGTGGAGATATACAAGAGCAGAAGCCACTCCTTTGATGATGTGAAACCTTTGGGACCAACTTAGCTTTGGCTTTTCTTCATTGAACAAGAAATCGTCTAGGTTCCCGTAAGGCATGTAATCGTAGACCAAGAGTAGTTCACCTTTTCTTCTGCAGTACCCTAAGAGCTGCACGAGATTCTTGTGCCTTAGCTTCCCAATACCAACAATCTGAGAGACGAGGTGCTTGGTGTCTTCTTCTGCATCCAAAGAAACTCTCTTGACAGCGATCTGTGCATTTGACGAGAGCTTTCCTCTGTACACCGTCCCGTTCGCCTCTGTGCCGTGAAGCTCGCTCTCTTTGAAACCTTTGGTGGCTTTGTAGAGAGCTTTGTAAAAAAACCTCTGAGGGCTGTAATCTTCTTCCCATTCTTCTCTGACTTCTTCGTACTTGCTGTTCGCATACATTGATCTTAATGCTGCTCCCATCTTCAGATTTTCTTGCAGGTTCTCAAGATCGCTTTGTCTGAACAGATTTTGTGAATTCCATTGTTTGTGTCTGTTGCAACTTTGTCAAAGCCATCTCTGTTTGGTGATGATTTGTGTGTTGTTGTGGGAAATGAGTTGCATACCACTTTCTTTTCAGGGGGAAGGTCAACTGTTGTACCAGACCGTCCAATCTTGTTCTTTTAATTGTAATTAATCTCTTAAATTGGCATTTAATCATATACTAGTTGCATTTTCAGAATTCTAAATGAAGATTTCCATAATCATCAAATTCAATTTTTATATTGCACATTGAACAGGTTCATCTGTTTGATCACCTGTCTGAATTATGAATATTAAAATATTTCTTTCTCAAGATGAAATATTTTCTTCTTGTTACAAAAGTCAACTACAAGAAGAGAAACAAAATCTTTTGGTCAATAGAAACTAACAGTCGGCTAAATGAATGAAGAAAACAAAAAGATTTACGTATACAACAAATACAACAGACTTCAGACAACATGATTAAAAAAAGCCTTCTCTGTTCTTTAGTTTGGTTGAAGCATCTTTCCATGAGTTTCTTCCTCAACAACTGCAGCAGAACAAAACGCATCAGAATACACAAATGCAGGTTCGTTCATATAATTATAAATCAATTTTGTTTTAGTTGAAGACTAAAAGAGAACTCACTTTCATGCGTGTTGGCTAAAAGTGGAGCTTTGTTGTCTGCTGAATTAGGAGCAGGTACCATGTTTGTGGCTCCACTAAATGTAGAAGCCTCAGAAGAAGCTTTACGAGGACTGATAGCTTTAGATATCACTCTAGAAAGTGCTCTATCGTCTTCTCCAGGCTCAAACTTCTGGATTATGTATTCCTTCATCGATACGCCTTTGTCCCATACCTGATGCTGCAAGCACAATATGATTGACTGATACAGATGGAGACGTGTCACATGTAAACAAGTTATAGTACCTTAGTATTGAAGCCAGCGGGCTGGTTAGTTCCTGCAGAGTTGATTTCTGAAACATCATTTGTTTCTCGTTCTGCTGACTCTGTTGGTACCGGAAAAGCCATATCTTGAATCTTCTTAGTTATGGCGTGTGTTGCATCAGAGACTTTAGCATAAGCAGGTGCTAGCGTCTCTGTCACGGTTTCTGTTACCGTCTTGCTTGGACTAATAGGTTCTTGGTTTGTGCACTCCTTCCCTGTCTTATCAGCAGGCTTCTCTTGCTTGACATCAGACAAAACATTCTTCTCAGGGACCAGAGAGTTTTCTTTGTTGGAACCAGTACAATCTTTATGTTCTTGTTTAGCGTCGTGTTTGGATGGGAGAACAGACAAGACATTCGTCTCAGTGATCACAACATTTTCCCGGGGATGCTGCCTCGCAGTTTCCTTCAACTCTTCAGGTGCTTTCTTTGATTCATACACTGAAAAATATCACACAAGACAATCGATTAGTCGTCTTGGGCAATTCAAGAAAGAAAGGTGGTTTGTTCATGAAGATTTGATTTACTTGGGGCTCCAAGATATTCAGGATCTTCTTCTTCTCCTGTTTCTCTTTCTTCTCTGGCTTTACGGTCTTTCAAGTTGTCACGTGGTGAGAGTGTCTCATAACCTTCTTTTTCTCTAACTTGATGGTCTTCGAATCTGGCAAAGGGAGACATGGTTGCATCACCTTCTTCATCATGTCTCTTCTTGTTGCTTAGACTGTGCTGCAGCTTTTTTGCCTTGTCTTTCATTTTCGAGAACAGAGATTTCTTGTGGTGGGAATGTTCTCCCTGAAGCTCATTCTCCTTTCTTGGTGAACCACTAGGTGACAGCTTTGAACCTTCACCAGCTGAGAAAATATATATGAAAGAAAATGAGTTTCGAACCAAGACTTTGCGTCCAATCCAAGAAACATCAAATCAAAACTACTAAGAAGCAAATGAAATGGATAATAGAGAAGTTGGATCGTTTCTTGAAGAGACTATACATTGGTGACGCTGGCCAATTGTAGAGAAGCTTGGACTTCCTGAATGATTAACATGTGTTTTTAAGCTTTCGAGCTCAGCGACCGGATCAAGTTGAGGCGACATTTGAGAGAAAAAAACGATTGCAGATTTTCTGTTTGGAACTTTGGATTTTCAGACAATAACATATGAGATACATATAAGACAAGAAACAGGTGTGAATGTCCACGAGTCTTGTTTTTCTCCGAGGTTCTTGGACAGACCATAAGAACATTGCTTTTAAATAGCTATAACCTCTAATTTGGAGAAGCATAAAAAGAAAGAAGACAAAGTCTTTGCCTTAGATTTTGACGTTTTGAGCTAAATAATAGGAGTCACATTTATGAAATTTGCTAGAGAAAAAATGGAACCGGCAATGATAACAAATACTTAAAGAGAAGAACTCAATCTGAACTTTTATGACTATATTTTCTTTTGTCACTGACTCACTATGTGAAAAAGAACAAGAACACACCTGAAAATTAGGTGAACTCTAACTTAAGTATCTCTTTGGTGAGTCAAAAGTACATACTAAAATTTAATGAATGTGAAATACAGAGACATGCAGATGTTTGTTTGTGTACTTTTAATAGCACTTTGTAAAAGTAAGACACGAGTGAAATGTTCCACACGTGCTCGGCAGTTTTGCATCTACTTAACATTTGTGGTGTTTGCAACTAACTAAAACGTCACGCTTTGTTCTTGTAAATACACAAAACGGAATGTAGTCTAAAAAGAAAATCTCTATGAGACTTGAGTTTTGCATAAAACCCCAAAGTACACATTAAGCTTTTGCCGAAGCCAAAATCTTCGCATTTCCTCTGTAAAACCTTATCTTTGCTCTTTCTTCTCCGCCATGGCCGCCTTCTCCGTCAATGGGCAGCTTATCCCGGCGGCGACAAGCTCTACCACTTCTATCTCTTCTCGCCGTAAATTCTCATCTCCCTCCTCTTCTCGCCTTCCTCGCATCTCCGCACCCTCTCCTCGTGTCCCATCCATAAAATGCAGCAGTAGAAGCTTACCTACCCGAGATACGGAGCCATCTTCCAAAGACTCCCTCCTCAAAAGCCTAGCGAAACCGCTCGCTGTAGCCTCCGTATCCTCCGCTGCGTCACTCTTTCTATTCCGAATCTCAAATCTCCCTTCGTTTCTAAGCGGCGGCGGAGGAGGAGGCGATGGTAATTTCGGCGGATTCGGCGGTGGTGGAGGCGGCGGAGGTGGAGGAGATGGAAGTGACGGTGGATTTTGGGGGAAATTGCTTTCCCCGGCGCCTGCAGTTGCCGACGAGGAACAGTCACCGGATTGGGATTCTCACGGGTTACCGGCAAACATCGTCGTGCAATTGAACAAGCTCAGTGGCTTCAAGAAGTACAAGGTCTCCGATATCATGTTCTTCGACCGGCGGAAGCAGACGACGATCGGCACCGAGGACTCTTTCTTCGAGATGGTGTCGATCCGGCCAGGTGGAGTCTACACGAAAGCCCAATTGCAGAAGGAGCTAGAAAACCTAGCTACTTGCGGGATGTTCGAGAAAGTCGACTTGGAAGGGAAGACGAAGCCCGACGGAACCCTAGGAGTCACAATCTCCTTCGCGGAGAGCACGTGGCAGTCAGCGGACAGGTTCAGATGCATCAACGTGGGGCTAATGGTGCAGTCGAAGCCGATAGAGATGGATACGGACATGACTGATAAAGAGAAGCTCGAGTATTACAGGAGCTTGGAGAAGGACTACAAACGGAGAATCGATAGGGCGAGGCCTTGTTTGTTGCCGGCGCCTGTGTACGGTGAGGTGATGCAGATGCTGAGGGATCAAGGGAAAGTCAGCGCGAGGCTGTTGCAGAAGATTAGGGACCGTGTTCAGAAATGGTACCAGGACGAAGGGTATGCTTGTGCTCAGGTTGTGAATTTCGGGAACTTGAACACGAAGGAGGTTGTTTGTGAAGTTGTGGAAGGAGACATAACTCAGCTTGTTATTCAGTTTCAAGACAAGCTTGGTAATGTGATTGAAGGTAACACTCAAGTCCCTGTCGTCCGCAGGGAGTTGCCTAAACAGGTATGTGTCTCAAAGCTCTCAAGCTCTCTCTGCTATGTCAGATTGTGTCATTAGTTGATTTTTAGTTTGTTGATTCTTTGATAGATACTTTTTTAGTCATTTTATTTGGCTTGAACAAATCTTCTATAATCCGTACATGCTATGAAATTATCTCATTTGTTATGTTTTGTTTTTGGTGATAAAGTGTATTTTTTGATGACAGCTTCGACAAGGCTATGTTTTCAACATTGACGCTGGGAGACAAGCTCTCAAGAACATCAACGCATTAGGGCTGTTCTCTAACATTGAAGTGAATCCACGCCCAGATGAGAAAAACGAAGGCGGCATTGTCGTTGAGATCAAACTGAAAGAGCTAGAACAGAAGTCAGCTGAAGTCAGTACTGAATGGAGTATTGTTCCTGGGCGTGGAGGAGCTCCCACATTTGTATGAATCCTTCCTTCCTTATTGGAAATAAGTTATTTTTTTGAAAATTTCAATTAATTTTGCTTTGTCTTTGTTTATATGCACCAGGCTTCATTCCAACCAGGTGGGTCTGTTACTTTCGAACATCGAAACATCCATGGTCTTAACAGGTCTCTCATGGGTTCAGTGACCACTAGCAACTTCTTGAACCCTCAGGTATATTCAGTTAGCTTACGTTTTTTTTTTTGATAAGTCTCTGGTTCAACCTGTTTATTTGATACCCATCCATCTATCACTGCTTCTATGTGCAGGACGATCTTTCGTTCAAGCTCGAGTATGTACACCCATACCTGGACGGTGTTTACAATCCACGTAACCGTACATTCAAAACGAGCTGCTTCAACAGCCGCAAACTTAGCCCAGTGTTCACAGGAGGACCAGGTGTTGAGGAAGTGCCAGCAATTTGGGTTGATCGAGCTGGTCTGAAAGCTAACATAACTGAGGTAAGCTTGCCAAATTCTCAGTGCCATTTGTCGGCTTGTTTTTGTCCTACAAACACTTTAAACTAATCCATATTGTCGTGCAGAACTTCACCCGTCAGAGTAAGTTCACATATGGGCTTGTGATGGAGGAGATCACAACCCGAGATGAAAGCAGTCACATCGCTGCAAATGGTCAGAGACTACTACCTAGCGGTGGAATCAGTGCCGATGGACCACCAACAACTCTCAGTGGTACCGGTATTGATAGAATGGCTTTTCTACAAGCCAACATCACTCGTGACAATACTAAGTTCGTCAATGGAGCTGTTGTTGGAGAGAGGAATGTCTTTCAGGTTTGTATACTCTATAGGATTATAATTATGAGTCGTATGTAATACTCTATAACCTTTTACACACTCTGTATTTGGTAATCGCAGGTGGATCAAGGCCTAGGTATCGGGAGCAAATTCCCGTTCTTCAACCGCCATCAACTTACCATGACAAGATTCATTCAGCTGCAGCAAGTAGAAGAAGGCGAAGGTAAGTCACCACCACCGGTTCTAGTCCTCCATGGGCATTACGGTGGCTGCGTTGGTGACCTTCCAAGCTATGATGCTTTTGTCCTTGGTGGTCCTTACTCTGTCCGTGGCTACAACATGGGTGAGCTCGGTGCAGCTAGAAACATTCTAGAGGTAAACAAACAAACGAACAAAAGAAAACATTCTTTCTTTTTAAGTCTGAAATAATATAAAAATTGCGTTGTCTGATATGGTTCATGGATTGTAGCTTGGTGCTGAGATCAGAATACCTGTGAAGAACACGCATGTCTACGCCTTTGCTGAGCATGGGAACGATTTGGGAAGCTCCAAGGACGTGAAGGGAAACCCAACAGCTGTCTACAGGAGAATGGGACAGGGTTCATCGTACGGTGTAGGTGTGAAACTTGGTTTGGTACGAGCTGAGTATGCTGTAGATCACAACAATGGAACTGGTGCGCTGTTCTTCCGGTTTGGAGAGAGGTATTAAGGTGATATGAGAAGTAAGTTCATGTAACCTAATTTAGTGGGCTTCTGCAATTTGTTCAAGCTCTTCTGCAATTTTTTTTCTTTTCTTTTGTGGCTTTTAAATCCTTAATTTTTGTTTTGTTTTTGTTTTCAAATAATTGGCTTAATGTTACTGTTTTGCTTGCGTTGTTGAGTTATGCTGAGAATCGGGAAAGAGTTTTCTTCTTCGTAAACTTCATTATTTAAAGCTGAGCTTCTTTACGATTTCTGATTCCTGAAAATGGTCGTTTCTGTTATATTCGGCTAAATTTGCAAATATTGTTGAGAGTTTTAGTCTCTGATCAGATGTCCCTCTACTTCATAAGGGTAATCTGAAAAACCACCTTCTAATTTGATTTTTTTTTTTAATTATTTTTAATTCGAAAATCATTGTACATGTCTATTTTATCCTTTGTTTTTTTTTCAGAATTACAGATCCAATCATATTAAATATATCCAAATTTTAATTTAATGGATCAATCCGAAATAAAACCTAAAGAAACTTAATCTTTATAGTGAAAAAACTCTCCAGAAATCGAAGAAACTCCTCGAGACTTGAGACATTGTTTAAAGTTCGTTTTTTTCCCGAAAATTACCGATTAATGCATTTTTTTGTTGCCGACAAAACTTTACTGTTGCCGACAGAAAACAAAAAAACTGCATATTAGATGTAATTTATAAAGAAGAAAAGTCCTAAAAAGTCGCGTTCGCGTTGATAGAACTTTTGGATAAAGCACTGAGATTGAGTGCTGCACTCTGTTCTGCTTTTCGAGCAAAAAGGTTCAAGAAACGATCTTGTGCACATTTTGAGATCTTTCAACTCGATCCCGTTGAGATGGTAGATGCGATCACGGAGTTCGTCGTGGGAAAGATGGGCAATTATATCATCGAAGAAGCATTAAAGTTGATAGGAACCAAAGACGAACTAGAGGAGCTCAAGACTGAGTTGATGTGTATACAAGGTTATCTCAAGGATGTTGAAGCTCGAGAAAGAGAAGACGAGGTCTCGAAAGAGTGGACGAAACTAGTTTTAGATATAGCTTACGATGTTGAAGATGTTTTAGACAGCTATACCCTGAAAGCCGAAGAAAGATCACAGAGGCGAGGCTTGATGAGATTGACCAACAAAATAGGAGAGAAGGTGGATTCGTACAGAATAATTGACGATATGAGAAACCTCAAGAGAAAAATCCTGGATGTTACTCGCAAGCGGGAGACTTATGGCATAGGCAACTTCAATGAGCCTCGAGGAGGAAGAGGGGAGAATACTTCAAATCTGAAGGTGAGGCAGCTTCGACGTGCTCGATCTGTTGTTCAAGAAGAGCTTGTCGTTGGTTTGGAAGACGATGCTAAGATTCTTTTGGCGAAGCTTCTTGGTGATGATGATGAGGATAACAAGAGATACATGATCTCCATATTCGGCATGGGAGGTCTCGGAAAGACGGCTCTAGCCAGGAAGCTATACAACTCGGGGGATGTGAAGAGAAGGTTCGTATACCGCGCGTGGACTTATGTTTCGCAAGAGTATAACACAAGAGATATGCTTATGAGAATCATAAGATCTTTGGGAGTAGTTTCTGCGGTGGAGCTTGAAAGGATCAAGATGTTTGTGGAGGAGGAGTTGGAAGTTTACCTTCATAGTGTTCTCGAAGGGAAAAGCTATTTGGTGGTGGTAGATGATATATGGGAGCGTGAAGCGTGGGAGAGCCTGAAGAGAGCTTTACCGGGAAATCACAGAGGAAGTAGAGTCATCATCACAACGCGTATCAGAGCCGTGGCTGAAGGTGTGGACCAGAGAGTTTACGCTCATAAGTTACGGTTCTTGACATTTGAAGAAAGCTGGAGACTGTTTGAACAGAAAGCACTCAGGGATATCGAACATGTCGATGAAGATCTGCGGAAAACCGGACAACTAATGGTTAGAAAATGCGGTGGATTACCACTCGCTATAGTCGTTCTTGCTGGCCTTATGTCAAGGAAGAGGCTTAACGAGTGGAGTGATGTTTATGCCTGTTTATGGCGACGCCTGAAAGATGACTCCATTCACGTTTCCACTGTGTTTGATTTAAGCTTCAAGGAGCTGCGACACGAGTTGAAGCTCTGTTTTCTTTACCTTAGCGTCTTCCCAGAGGACTATGAGATCGATGTAGAGAAGCTGATACACTTGCTTGTAACAGAAGGGTTTATACAAGAGGACGAAGAGATGATGATGGAAGATGTGGCTCGGTACTATATCGAAGAGCTGATAGACAGAAGCCTCATGGAAGCTGTGAGAAGAGAAAGAGGAATAGTGATGTCTTGTAGAATCCATGATCTCCTAAGAGACGAGGCCATCAAGAAAGCAAAAGAGCTCAACTTTGTGAATCTTTACAGTGTGCAACATTCTTCTACTACTTGCAGAAGGGAAGTGGTTCACCATATTATGAACAACAACGACTTGTGCGACAGACGTGTAAACAAACAAATGCGATCTTTCTTGTTCTTCGGAGACCGGAAGGGAATGCTGGGGGGGGGGGGGGGGGGGGGGGGGGGGGGGGGGGGGGGGGGTTCCGTCAAACCCATTACCTTGAAACTGAAGCTACTCCGAGTTCTTAATCTCGGAGGGCTTGTGTTTGTCTGTAAAGGTTGTACCCTCTTTAGCTTACCAGAGGTTATTGGAAGCTTGATCCACTTGAGGTACCTTGGGATATCTGACACTGGTTTGAAAAACTTACCAGCTTTTATGTCCAATTTACGGTTTCTGCAGACACTAGATGCATCTGGCAACTCCTTCGAGCGAATAACTGATCTAAATAAGCTCCCATCACTGAGGCATGTGATCGGAAAGTTTATCGGAGAATTGATAATAGGCGACGCAGTTAACCTACAGACCTTGAAGTCTATCTCCTCCTACAGCTGGAGCAAACTGAAACATGAGTTACTCAAAAATATTCGAGAGCTGGAGATCTATGACTCCGGCTTCTTTAAACGGAGAAGAGCTCCTTTAGACTTGAGTTCCTTCTCTAAACTGACCAGTCTTCGTGTCCTGAGGCTAGAGGTTACGACCTTCAAGTTGTCGTCGTTCAACATAGATTTGATCTTTCCCAGTCTTGAGTCTCTGGCACTTGTTGGAACAAATCTCGAGGAAGACCCAATGCCTGCTTTGCAGAAGTTGCCGAGACTGGAAGATCTTGTCCTGAAAGATTGCGATTGGTCGGGAGCGAAGATTAGAATCAAAGCACTAGGTTTTGGTCGGCTGAGGAAGCTTGAATTGATCACGGCAATATTAGTTGAGTTGCATATCGAAGAAGAGGCCATGCCCAGTTTGACGAAGCTGAATCTGGAGACCGAACGAGGACCAACGAAGCTGCTGATTCCACCTCGCTTGCAATCGTTTGTTCGAGGCAACTACACTATCTTCTGATCCAAATTTTGATCCTTTTGGTTTTGCAATAATAAATTGTTTGTGATTGCAAGAGTGTTTATGTGGTGTGGTTATACTTTTACATTGCATAATCCACAAAGGATGATGAAGATAGAGGATGAAGAGGTTAATGGTGGACGAAGCTGGTGCAGGCATGACTATGAGGGAGAGAGCCCTTGTCTCTAAAAGAGAAGCTCAAAGACTGTAAGAAGTGGAGACTCCCAATACTGGATGAGGTTGTCAAGTACTTCAAAACAGTGTGTGAAAAGATCACTACATTAAAGTAACAATTTCTAAACACATGATTAAACTGTTAATGATGTAACATAAAAAAAATCAAAGCTTCTACATTACATGATCAACAAAGGATGATTGCAGGAGCCTAAGGATGGTGGTACAAACCTTAATACTTAATTTGGAAACCAACGAAAAGTACTCAACTAACCAAGCTGGGTCAACTGATCTGAGACAAAGACTGTTCACTTTGATCCAATCACTGATCTTTCATGATTGTTGATATTTTTGAGGAAATATCAAAGGTACCTTCACCTTCACGGCAATTGAATTTAAGGCATAAGGTTTGTACGCAATGTCACATGTGCAGAGACAAACAAACAAAAAACCATTGACTTTTTGTGTGACGTCAGTAGTGAGCGCATGGCTCTCCAACACAATGTAAGGATAATGCTTTTTTAATAATCATATGGAGATTACTTAGAGATGTATTTGCATATTGATATGTATGAAAGAAGTGAGAGACAGAGAGAAAGAGAGAGATCAAACGATGGAGAAAAGGATAGAGAAGAGAAGGATAGTGTTACTTCCAATTCCAGTACAAGGACACATAACTCCAATGATTCAACTCGGTCAAGGCCTTAACACAAAGGGATTCTTAATTACAGTTGCTCATGGAGAAATCAATCAAGTAAACCACCTCCCTGGCTTTCAATTTCTAACCATACCAGAAAGCTTACCGATGTCTCAAATCAAGACATTAGGACCAGTCGAGTTCCTGATAAAGCTCAACAAAACCAGCGAGGCAAGCTTCAAGAACTGTATAGCTCAGCTATTGCTACAACAAGACAATGATATCGCATGTATCATCTACGACGAGCTCATGTACTTCTCTGAAGCTGTAGCTAAAGAGTTCAAGATCCCTAGTGTCATATTCACCACTGCCAGTGCTACAAATCAAGTTTGTGGCTGTGTTTTAAGCAAACTCAACGCCGACAAGTTCTTGATCGACATTGAAGGTAAGCCAAAACTAGCTTATTACCTAATCTTCACTCTATCCTTTTAAAACAGGGGATATTGTTTTTGTCTTTTCAAACTTTTTAGATCCTGAAGTGCAAGACAAGGTAGTGGAAAATTTACTCCAATTAAGGTACAAAGACTTACCGACTTCGGGAATGGGGACACTAGATCGATATTTGGAGATATGTAAGGAAGTATTTAACAGAAGAACAGCTTCAGGTGTTATCATCAACACATCGAGCTGTCTAGAGAGCTCGTCTCTGTCATGGCTGCAACAAGAACTCGGAGTTCCAGTGTATCCATTAGGACCTCTACACATAACATCTTCAGCAAACTGTAGTTTACTAGAAGAAGACAAGAGCTGCATTGAATGGCTGAACAAGCAGGAACCAAGGTCAGTGATATACATAGGCTTGGGAAGCAAAGCTAAGATGGAAAGCAAGGAAGTTCTTGAGATGGCTTGGGGGTTGTTTGATAGCAACCAACCTTTCTTATGGGTAATCATAGAGTCATTGCCAGAGGAAGTCAGTAAGATTGTCTCAGAGAAGGGATACATTGTGAAATGGGCACCACAGAGTGAAGTTCTTGCACATCCTGCCGTGGGAGGCTTCTGGAGCCATTGTGGATGGAACTCAACGCTTGAGAGTATTGCGGAAGGAGTTCCGATGATTTGCAGGCCTTTTACTGGAGAACAGAAGTTAAACGCAAAGTATATAGAGAGTGTTTGGAGGACTGGGATTAAGCTGGAAGGTGAAGTTGAAAGAGGAGGAGTAGAGAGAGCTGTGAAGAGGTTGCTTGTGGATGAAGAAGGTGCAGGCATGAGGGAGAGAACACTTGTTCTGAAAGAGAAGCTCAAAGCCTCTGTAAGAAGGGGAGGCTCTTCATACAACGCATTGGATGAGCTAGTTAAGTACTTGAATACAGAGTGAAGAAGCTGATGAACTTAATGTAACAGAGACGATCAAGCTTGCTTATTAACCTAATCTTATAAAATTTACCAAGTAAACTTGTTTTTTTTTAATGCAAATAAAAATCAATTCATATATACGAGTATCCTTTTACACAGCTTTCTCATAATAGAATGATCTCTTTTGGCTGGTTTTTGGTGAAAGAATCTATATCTCCAAGCCAAAGAAGTCCTGCTACAGACATGACGACAATGAAATGCAAGAAACTGATTGTATTGTCTTCTGGTGAATGACTGTCCATGAACACAATTATCCAAAATATGTAATTTGCAAACCATTTACAGAAACCCTATTGGAAACACAGGAAAAAACTAGATTTTCATGGTCATGAAACTTTCTCTGCTGGTTTTATTATTGATTTCCCTTTCATAAGCATTGTCATGCAAACATATTACTTATTTCTATATTAACCAGTAATATTCATATACACTAAACTTATCGTCACAGCCTGCAACATCGCCGGGTCAACCGATTTTGAGAATCATTGATGTCGCATGTGTTTAGATCTTCCCAAGAGAATCATATAAATATTGAACAAACACAATTACAGGAGAATAGGATCCCTCTTTGACAGATGGTTACTTATGATTTAAGTATCAACAAAGAACATGCCATAATGTGGCAAAAACAAAAAAAATTCCATGTGGGCCAAACAAACAAACAAAACAACGATTGGCTTTTTTGTAAAATGTCACTTCCTTTATTAGCGTGGGCATGACTCTTCAGTACCATGTAAGGTTACTTCACTTGAATTATATATAAGACAGTCTCCTCTAGAATATTGTGGAATCTCCAATGCTAATGAGATTTTAATAATAACATGGATCACTTACATAGAGATGTATGCATTGACATACGAAAGGAGGGCCACAGAAAAGAAGGGTCAAGCAATGGAAACAAGAGAAGAGAAGAGGAGGATAGTGTTGGTTCCATTTCCAGCACAAGGACATATAACTCCAATGATTCAACTCGGTCAAGCCCTTAACTTGAAAGGCTTCTCAATTGCAGTTGCTCAGGGAGAATCCAATAAAGTAAGCTCTTCTCAACACTTCCCTGGATTTCAATTTGTCACCATACCAGAATCTGTACCGGTGTCTCAACACGAGACACTCGGACTAGTTGAGTTTCTGATGAAGCTCAACAAAACCAGTGAGTCAAGCTTCAAGAACTGTATATCTCATTTGTTGCTACAACAAGGCAATGATGATATCGCATGTATCATCTATGACGAGCTCATGTACTTCTCTGAAGCTGCAGCTAAAGAGTTCAAGATCCCTAGTGTTGTATTCAGCACTGGCAGTGCTACGAATCATGCTTGTGGGTATGTTTTAAGCAAACTCAATGTAGAGAATTTCTTACTCGACATTGAAGGTAAACAATTCTATCTAATTACCCTTTCTCCAACCACTCGTTAATCGTTTCACTAAACATGGTTTCTTTATTTATTTTGCAGATCCTGAAATGCAAGAAAAGGTGGTGGATGGTTTAGATCCATTAAGATACAAAGACCTACCTGTTTCAGGAATGGGACCACTGGATCGATTCTTGGAGATCTGTAGGGAAGTATTTAACAAAAGAACAGCTTCAAGTGTTATCATCAACACGACGAGCTGCCTAGAGAGCTCGTCTCTGTCAAGGCTGGAACAAGAACTCAAGATTCCAGTGTACCCATTAGGCCCTCTTCACATTAAATCTTCAGTAGATTCTAGTTTACTAGAAGAAGACAGGAGCTGCATTGAATGGCTGAACAAGCAGAAGTCGAAGTCAGTCATATACATAAGCTTGGGAAGCATAGCTCACATCGAAACCAAGGAAGTTTTGGAGATGGCTTGGGGATTGTATGATAGCAACCAGCCTTTCTTATGGGTCATTCGACCTGGCTCTGTCCCTGGCTCTGAGCCATTGCCAGAGGAATTGAGTAAGATGGTCTCTGAAAGAGGATACATAGTGAAATGGGCACCACAGAGTGAAGTGCTTGCTCACCCTTCAGTGGGAGGCTTCTGGAGCCACTGTGGATGGAACTCAACGCTCGAGAGCATTGTGGAAGGAGTTCCAATGATTTGCAGACCTTTGAACGGTGAGCAGAAGTTAAACGCAATTTATATAGAGCGTGTTTGGAGAATTGGGATTCAGTTTAAGGGTGAAGTGAAAAGAGGAGGGGTCGAGAGAGCTGTGAAGAAGTTGATGATGGATGATGAAGGTGCATACATGAGAAAGAGATCCCTTAGTTTGAAAGAGAAGGTAAAAGCCTCGGTAAGAAGTGGAGGCTCCTCATACAATGCATTGGAGGAGCTTGTCGAGTACCTGAAAACAAAGTAGAGATGATGAACTTTGCTTTTAAAGATAGAGGCTCTATTTTCTGAATTTACAAGATCATTCATGTTGGTAACTCAAGAACCTATTTGAAAATAGAGGAAATATCTGGTGGCTCTACAACACAATGGAAGGTTATCATTATAAAAATTGAATGAGGAATACTTAATTAGTTAATGGGAAAAATGGCATTTAAATGCCCAACTTTCAAATTTCAACCAATTTAGGCATAGCCTTTTGCCTCGCCTTATAAATAACAACATTGTCATTGACTTCCGTATAAATGCCAAAGTTCTGTTGACAATGCCAATTGGGGCACAACGTCAATTTGCTTAACAAATCAAATTAGTCCGTTAATTATCCGTTTGAGTTTCTGTTAGAGACAAACGACATCGTTTTCTTCTAAGACAAACCCAATCCCAAATCGAAGCTCGAAACCCTTATTTCTAAAAATCCCCAAATCGAAGCTTGAACCCTAATTTCTAAAAATTCCCAAATCAAACACAATCCTCTAATCAAACACTTCTTAATCCAATCACCGCTTCTCATCCTTGGTTTATTGGAATTGAAATGCCGAGAGGAAAACAGAAGAAGGTTCCAAAGAAGTCTCCAAAGCCCAAATCGAAAGAACCTGAAGCGGAACCCGACGATGAAGGTTTGTTTGCAGTTGCAGTTGTAGAAGAAGATGATTGTGCGGTTTTTGGTGATGAATATTGTGACGACATTAGCGACGGAGGTGATGATGAGGAAGATACGAACACTTTAGGAGGAGTTGAAGAAGAGAGATGCCAAAACTTAGTAGTTATGTTTGGAGAGGCTGCGAGTGATGAAGATGTTGGGACTGATGGAGATAGTGGAGATGATGTTTGGGATGATGACAAGATTCCTGATCCTTTGTCATCCGACTCTGAAGATGACGACAATGGAGAAAAGGAAAAAGAAAGGCGCCGAGAGAGAGAGAGAGAGACTGAAGACCCAGAAGTTATCCTAGCTCTTGGGAAAATTTTCAACACTCCTGAAGATTTCAAGCTTGCGCTTGTAAGGTACTCCTTGAAAACTAGATATGACATCAAGTTATATCGGTCACAATCAATGAAGCTTGGTGCGAAATGCTCTGATACAAAAGTAGAGTGTCCATGGAGAGTTTATTGTTCGTATGAGAAGAGAAAACATAAGCTGCAAATTAAGGTGTTTGTCAATGCGCATGTATGTATCCGATCAGGCCACTCGAAGATGTTGAAACGTTCTACTATTGCGTGGCTGTTTGCAGAACGAATTAGAGTGAATCCGAAGATGACAAAGTATGAAATGGCTGCTGAGATAAAGAGAGGGTACAATTTAGAAGTCACCGATGAGCAATGTGGAAAGGCAAAGTCGAAACTGATAAGAGAGAAGAAAGCTAGTCATGAAGCTCATTTTTCACGAGTTTGGGATTATCAAGCCGAGGTTTTCCAAACCAATGAACACACAAAATTTGAGATTGAGACTATTCCAGGGCCAACAGTTGGAAGCAAGCAGAGGTTTTTGCGCTGTTATGTTTGTTTCAATGCACATCACGAGTCTTGGAAAGCAACATGTAGACCTATCATAGGATTAGATGGATCTTTTCTGAAGTGGGACATAAAGGGCCATCTGTTAGCTGCGGTTGGAAGAGATGGAGATAATAGGATTGTTCATATTGCTTGGGCTGTAGTCGAAGTGGAAAATGATGATAATTGGGACTGGTTCGTTAAACAGCTTTCAGAGAGTTTGAGTCTTGGTGATGGAAAAGAGGTTGCAATCATCTCAGATAAACAAGCGGTTAGTATACTAATATATTGTTGGTTTTGTCTTCATCAAATAAACAAATGTATATAGCTTCTTGTTCTGATGTGTATAATGTGTATATCACTTCAGGGGCTTGTGAAAACGGTGCGTAACCTTCTTCCTGCAGCTGAACATAGGCAATGTGCAAGACACATTATGAAAAATTGGAAGAAAGAGAGCAACGATATTGAACTAGAACGGCTGCTTTGGAAGATAGCACGAAGCTACACCATTGGAGAATTTACTGAAAATATGGAAGCATTGGAGAGGTACAATCCTCAGGCTTTACTTTCTCTACGCCAAACTAATCCGCAGTCGTGGTCTAGAGCTTACTTTAGAATAGGTTCGTGCTGCAATGACATTTTGAATAACTTGAGTGAGTCTTTTAATAGAACAATTAGGCAGGCAAGAGAGAAGCCTTTGTTAGACTTATTAGAGGATATTAGGCGACAAGCTATGGTTCACAATGCTAAAAGATTCATTATTGCGGGAAGGTTGAAGTCAACATTCACAAAGAGAGCCCATATTGAGATAGAGAAGATGATATCCGGAGCGCAACATTGCGTTAGACACATGGCTAGGAATGATATGCATGAGGTTGAATTACATGGTGTTGCTTATAGCGTAGATATGAGGAACTTCACTTGCGATTGCAGAAAATGGCAAATGGTTGGAATACCATGTGTTCATGCCGCAAGTGTAATCATGGGTAAGAGACAAGCAGTTGAGGATTATGTGAATGTCTATTACACTAAAAGTATGTGGCTAGAAACGTATAAGAATGGTATAGGGCCTGTACAAGGAATAAAGTTGTGGCCTAGATTGAATCGGTTGCCTGTCCTGCCACCGCCATGGAGAAATGGCAATCCTGGTAGGCCAAGCAACTATGCAAGGAGGAAATCGAGATATAAATCTGCTACTTCCTCAAGCACAACAAGATTGTCACGACAAAGAAGAATCATGACGTGCTCGAATTGTTTGGAGGATGGACACAACAAGCAAGCTTGTTCAAATCCTACAGTTCAACCTCCTCCAAAAAGACCAAGGGGTCGACCTAGAAAATATCAGGTTTGTTTCTTTCATCATTTTGATTGTTAATCATTATAGAAACACAATAAATTCATACATTTTATTTGAAGCAGGAAGGAGTTCCTCCACAACAAGAAGTTTCAGTTGGAGGAGCTTCACTAGGATCACAGCCTGAAGGCATTTCAGACGCACAAGGATCACAGACCAATCAACGTCACGGGTCACAAGCTCATCAACCTCACGGATCACAGACAAATCAGCCTCACGGATGACAAGCTCATCGAACTCATGGATCGCAAGCAACCGGAACTCAAGAATCAGAAGCTAATCGAGCTTATGTTTCTTCCTCTAATCAAGCTTATGGACCACAACCCGAAAGGACTGAAGCTTATGGTTGGGCATCATGGTTTAATCTTTGAAAATCTATGTTTCATGTGTGGTGTATTCTGGTTTTTTGTTGTGTTTTTATGGGATAATAGCAACCTTTGTAAGTCTTGTGTTTCTTGTGTGTTTGAACATGGTTTGTTGTGTTTTAACATGGTTTGGGATAATAGCAACCTTTCTTTCTTTCTTGTGTTTTGCTCTTTCTTAATCAAGTTGTGTTTTACTCTTGTTTAATCAATTTCTTTTGTTCATTTTGTTGCTTTTGTTGCTTTTGTTGTTATTGCATCTTTAGGATCATATAACACAAAACAAAATGTATTTCATTCATTATCATATCCAAATACATGAAGCCAAATCCCATGACACACCTTCAATCCCAAAATAGAGCCAAATCCGAACACCACTAAGAGACTACAATGACAAACTATTCTTCTCATACTAGTAACCAAGACTGAATTTGGTCTCATTTCCTTTGCCAATCATCAAGTAAACAATGACAAAGATCATGAAGAAAAGACAAACAAAACATAATATGTTCATCACTCTCCACTTCCGGATTTCTCTTTTGCTCCACATTTCGTCTTCAACCAACCTTTCCATCGAAATCTTCAACTCTTCAACCTCAGATTTTGCATTGCTAATTTCACTTTCAAGGCTTCTTATTCTCGGTACACCATCTTCAAGCTCCTCTAGGACAGCCTCCTCGACCCATTTAAACAAATGCCCCTGTTGCAAAGACAACATAATCATTTAATTTATTGTCTAAACACCAGACCAAGAGCAACAGATCAATCCCAACAAAATCAACCATTTAATTTTACTGTCTAAAAGCTACTTACATCTCTTTTTTTTGATGGAAAGCTTTGGTCTCTTTGCCTTATACAGCGGTAGAAAAGCTTTCCCGGATTCTCTTGCGTCTTCGATGTCAGCATTATAACACCTAAACCACACACACATTTCGATGGTAAGCCACGATATTCGACGCCACATGATTGTTCAGAAGAGGAACTCATCGATGATTGAGAAAATAGAAGAAAAAGTAGAAGAGAAATGAGAAAGAATTGTTCAACAGAGAAGTTTTGACGTGATTTCGAGAGTTTCAAGGATTTGAGGAACTAATTTTTGACTTAGGGTTCGAAGAAGAAGAAATGATCGATCGATTTGGGGATTTAATCAACAATTTCGTTGAAAAGAACAACATCGTTTTTCTCTAACAGAAACTCAAACGGAAAATTAACGGACTAATTTGATTTGTTAAGCAAATTGACATTGTGCCTCAATTGGCATTGTCAACAAAACTTTGGCATTTATACGGAAGTCAATGACAATGTTGTTATTTATAAGGCGATGCAAAAGGCTGTGCCTAAATTGGTTGAAATTTGAAAATTGGGCATTTAAATGCCATTTTTCCCATTAGTTAATTGTATAGCAAAATATTACTTAAACTGTATACCAACTTTTTTTGATGCAATGATTGCACCAAGATTAATTGGAGAACCATGCATCTTGCTACTTTATGAGTTATGAGGAGATATCTTATAATATGAAGACTAAAATCTCTTGAAATTTTGATTAGTATTTAAAATATTAAATCACAATATAAAACCTACAATATGCTAAAACCAACAACTCTCACGTCAGCGAGAACAGAACAAAGTCAAAAAAACAAAAGAAACCCTTAGCATTTCTTGTAATTAATGGTTTCTATTAAGAAAAGAGAGTACAGTAGAACCTCTATAAATTAATATTCGATAAATTAATAATCATTGTAAATTAAAAATTTTGCTGGTCCCATGTCGGACCAGTATAAAAATTAGTAAATTTCGATAAAATAATAAGATAATATTTTTTTTTGAAACTCCTATGTAAAAATATAGTTCCAATGATCTGCAGCCCATTTACTGCGGAACAGAAGTTAAACGCAAAGTATATAGAGAGTGTGTGGAGAATTGGGATTAAGCTGGAAGGTGAGGTGAATAGAGAAGTGGTCGAGAGAGCTGTGAAGAGGTTGATGATGAAGATGGAGAAGGTACGAGGGAGAGAGCCCTTGTTGTAAAAGAGAATCTCAAAGCCTCTGTAAGAAGTGGAGGCTCCTCATATAATGCATTTGACGACTTTGTCAAGTTCTTAAAGACATAGTGAAGAAGCTGAACTCTATGAATTTAGAGACCATTAACTTAATCAGAGATGACTTAAAGTACTTTTCTCAAACACAGTCCCAACTTGAAACCTCTGTCTATAGGGACAAAGTTTAATAAATTACATGTCTTTTCTTATCCAAATAAAAAGCAATTCAAATCAAATACGTTTGTCTCTTTTGGCAGTTTGTTACAGATAGAATTGTTGCATCAGAAAAAAGACAATTTGTCCATTTGGATCATCTTTTGACATGAGGCCAAAGAAGACCAAAGCATCTTTGCTTTTGTCTTTGGTTACTCTCTAACAAGATAGATGTAACCGACTCATCGTACTCGCATACATCATCCGCCACATGGTTCACATGTGGTAAAGAGAGCCAGCAAAATGTTATGCAGATGAATCAATCTCCATAAGCCTCAAAATCTGTTCGCCACAAAAACTCAGCAAATCTTAAATACTTATTTCACCAAATATATCAGAGCTTAGTTTTGGATACGGAGGAAAAGCCAGCGAGGAGAAGGCTAGTGTTGGTTCCAGTTCCAGCACAAGGACATTTATCTCTGATGATGCAGCTTGCGGAAACTCTACACTTGAAGGGTTTCTCAATCACTGTTGCTCAAACCAAGTTCAATTACTTTAGCCCTTCAGATGACTTCACTGATTTTCAGTTCGTGACCATCACAGAAAGCTTACCGGAGTCTGCTTTCAAGAATCTCAAGCCAATAATGTTTCTGCTTAAGCTCAACAAAGAGTGTCAGGTGAGCTTCAAGGTCTGTTTGCATTAGTTGCTTCTACAACAAGACATCTCATGTGTCATCTACAATGAGTATATGTACTTTGTTGAAGCTGCAGCCAAGGAGTTTAATCTTCCAAACGTTATTTTCAGCACCACAAACGCAACTGCTTTTGTTTACCGCTCTGTATTCAAAAAACTCTATGCAAACAATATCTTAGCTCCCTTAAAAGGTGCTCTAGAATTTAATTTTTTGCTACAGTCAAAAATCTTGAAACATTGTGGTTTCTGACCATTTTTTTTTTTTTTTGCAGATTCTAAAGGACAACAAGATGAGCTAGTGCCAGGGTTTCATCCCCTGAGATACAAAGACCTACCTACTTCAATATTTTCATCATTAGAAAACATACTTCAGCTGTATAAGAATACAGTTGACAAACGGACAGCTTCATCAGTGATAATCAACACGGCGAGCTGTCTAGAGAGCTCATCTCTGTCGTGGCTGCAACAACAGCTAGAGATTCCAGTGTTTCCTATAGGCCCTCTTCACATGGTGGCCTCAGATCCAACGAGTCTGCTTGAAGAGAACAGGAACTGTATCGAATGGTTGAACAAAAAAAAGCAAAACTCTGTGATATTCGTGAGCTTGGGAAGCTTAGCTTTGTTGGAAGTCAATGAGGTCATGGAAACTGCTTCGGGATTGGATAGTAGCAACCAACACTTCTTGTGGGTGATTAGGCCAGGGTCGGTACGTGGTTCCGAATGGATAGAGCACTTGCCTGAGGAGTTTAGTAAGATGGTCTCGAGTCGAGGCTACATTGTGAAATGGGCTCCACAGAAGGAAGTTCTTGCTCATCCTGCAGTAGGAGGGTTTTGGAGCCATTGTGGATGGAACTCTACACTAGAGAGTATCGGTGAAGGAGTTCCAATGATCTGCAAGCCGTTTTCCACCGATCAGAAGGTGAACGCGAGGTACTTGGAGTGTGTTTGGAGAATTGGGATTCAAGTGGAAGGTGAGCTAGACAGAGGAGCGGTGGAGAGAGCTGTGAAGAGGCTAATGGTGGGTGAAGAAGGAGAGGAGATGAGGAAGAGAGCTATTTGTTTGAAGGAGAGACTCAGAGCCTCTGTTAGAGATGGAAGTTCTTCACACAACTCGCTAGATGAATTTATACACTTGATGAGGACTCTGTGAAACAAATAAGAATTAGTCTCATACACTTCAGAAAGTGGAGAATAACTTGTGTGGATAAAATAATTAAGTAGTAGTAAGTCATGAAACAAAAGTCAATAAGGATAAGCTATTACCAAGTCATAAAACTTGCATCTTCAAATTCATACAGGAGATGAAATTGTAATATATATAGCTTTTCAAGCTAAAAAATGACATCACATGACTCAAAGTAAAACCCTCAGGCAACGAAAAACTGAAGTAAAGAATGTCTAGAACATAATCTTCATCATTAACAACAAGCGACCACTATATATAGTTTTTACAGAGTCTTAAGCCCAAAGAAAGTAACTTAGAAAGAAATGAATCGCTCTCAGGCACATCTCCCGAAGCGCTGACTTAGGAGGCTGGGTGCAAGGCGCAAGGAGATCTCAACAACTCTCTTAGCCCAAAATAGAAAGACCGACATGCTTCTTTTCTTCCGACATGACTCCGGCCACAGCAACTTACCTTTTTTCGCTTGTTTCTGCAATTTATTCACCTTCTAGGGTGTTTCAGCCTTTTCTTAGCCCATCCAAGCACTTAAAAATCTGCCTCTTCGGTTACGATTTTCTTTAAGTTCTTCTCCTTTCCCAACCACAAAGACCCTCATCTTCCATCACAGCAACACCTATCGAAAATAAAAAATTTTCCTGTTCTCTTTTTCCGCCTCTGCTCCTTTCCCCTGTTTTGCTCTTTGACAATTTCTCCGTTTCACTCTTGTTAAAAAATTTCTGTCACTATGAATCGCCTATCCAAAGGTGCATCATCTCGATCTGCTCCCTCAGTTGAGGAGGATGAACCAGTGAGGATCCCCTCACTTGACAACTCAGCTCTCATTGTTCGCTTTCAATTCATTTTAATAGGAAGAACTTTCCAAACAGGGGGTCGAAGAATCGATGCCCTCCTGACGTTTATGCCAAAAGCTGGGATCTGGGACGTTGAAGGCAGAGTTCGTGGTGTAGATCTGGGTAATGGGTGGTTCCACTTCGACTTTGAAACGGAGGAAGACCTTCTAAAAGTCTTGGCAAACGCCCTTGCCATTTTAACAAATGGACCTTCTCCCTGGAGCAATGGGTGCCAAATATCCGGGCTGATTTCCTGAGCACAGTTACTTTCTGGATATGAATCCAAGGAATCCCACTCCATTACTGGATGGAGATAGCTTTCCGTTCGATTGGTACCTCACTGGGCCAAGTCGAAGATGTTGATGCGGAAGACGGACGTGTTCAAGTAGCAATCGATGTTACACAGCCGCTAAAGTTTACGAAGAAGGTGGTATTTGATAATGGAGATGAAGTAACAGTATCTCTTGTCTATGAGAAGCTTCACAGGTACTGTTTCAGATGCCGTCTGATCTCTCATGAGGAGAGGAACTGCCCTGCACAGCCTGAAGCGGAGCGCCAACTCTCTCCAGAAGGAAGAAACAACACGATCTCTGAAGCCCGTAGAAACAGAGTAACTCAAGGGGAAGGAACTCGCCCGTTGATGGCCCCTCGAACCGAAAACAGAGCTCAGGTCCATCAGAGTGGCTTAAACGATCAAAGGGAGGTAAGAGCTCCTTCAAACCGAGGACATTCGGGAGACCACACGATAGAACCACGTGCACACTCCCCTCCTACTCGCTCTGCTCGCTGAGCCCTGTACCAATCGCGAGAGATTGAATCCCATGAGGATAACAGAGAGACTGTTTGGCGCCGTCTAGGTGAGGATAGATCTGTTTACCATCCCCGAACTCGAGAGGTCTCTACTCACTCTTCCTCAGACCCGAGAGGTCGGAGATTCGAGGAAACATTACCGATACACTCGGAAAACCTCAGAATCCCTTCTCGAGACCCTGCTTTACAACGAGGATCAGCTCGAAGAAGAGGTTCCCCTTCACGTTCCTCCCATCGTAGATCTCCTCCGCACAACACTTTAAGTTTTGATAACTGGCGACAATCACGACCCCCACGCTTTCAAGCGCGACAACAGGCTCCGGGTGCTTCTCGTCGATTCTTGGCAGCAGAAAAAGGAAAAGGGAAAGTTGGCCAAGAAGATGGTGATGAGAACAGTAACAATGAAGCTTTTAGTTCCTCTCCTCGAATCCTTGAAGTTGGATCTGGCCGGCGAACCAATTGCCACCAGCACCTGACGTACCTTTGGCTCGATCTCCCCCTCTCCCTCAATGTGTGCCCTCAACGGAAGTGAATGTAGCTGTGGAGGACGCAGGCGAGGATGTCGGAAACAAAAGCGTATGTGGAACAGAATCTGTTCCAACGGATTGGGAAGATCGGGATGATAAAAATTCAAAGGTTGATGAGCTGACTGAGGAGGATTTACGTCTGATACAGCAATGCGAAAACGAATTAATGGAGGATGGCATCCCAGAAGATGATGAAATTCTAAACGCTCTACTGGAAGATGACGATCTTTTAATTGACGATGATGACCTCTTAGGTGAAGAGGAGATCGAAGCTGAAGGAGAAAGAGAAAAAGGAGTAATCGATTCCCTTGAAGAAAGTTTGGAGCGTACGATCTCAGAGCCTGCAATCCCCATTGTTCACAACCGCCCTGCAACGCCACTGCCATCTCCTTCTCCTACAAGCAAGTGTGCACGATCTCCATCTAAAAACCAAACTGAGAGAGCACGACGTTCAGAGACTTCTCTCCAGATAACTCAACCTCGCGCGGCTCGTCAGGATAGCACCAATCCCCGGAAAAAAAATCCCGAGAAGCCCTGGTGTGCCTGGTCTGGCTGTGCGGAAATTCAGAGATTTAAGAGGTTGGAACTCCCCAAAGAAGAGGACCCCCCATCCACAGAGATCAGATAAAGAAAGAGGAGGCGGGTCTAGGGATAAGCCCCGCTCTGTTTTGTTAATCCCTCGTTCGGAGGAGACGGTATCTACACTTCGTAAGAAAAAAAAAATGTTTACTGACGCTAACAACTCAAAATATATCGCAGGTCTGGTGGGGTCCCAGAACCCAGTCCGCCCATATAAGGACTCTAGCGTGGAACTGTCAAGGGGTGGCTGCCAAACTTACTAACCACCGACTGGAGGAAATGTGCCGTATGTACTCGCCAGGTTTCGTCTTTCTATCAGAAACAAAGAATGATCGTTTGTATCTGCAAAACTTGCAAGTGTCTCTTGGATTTGATAATCTCCACACTGTAGAACCGATAGGTACAAGTGGTGGTTTAGCTTTATTGTATTCGAAGGATTTTCCTGTTAAATTTCTGTATTCAGATAATCGTTTAATTGATATTGAGACTATTATCGATGGAAACAGAGTGTTTATGACGTTTGTGTATAGTGATCCGGTTGTCAAAAACCGAGAATATGTATGGGAAAGATTGACTCGAATTGGTATATCTCGTATGGATGCATGGTTTATCATTGGCGATTTTAACGAGATTACAAGGAATCATGAAAAACGTGGGGGTAAAAACCGTTCTGAAACTTCTTTCCTCCCCTTCCGAGCTATGATTGATGGCTGTGGCTTTATTGATTTCCCCTATGAGGGTAATCCACTTTCTTGGGTTAGAAATCGAAAGAATGGGAGGATTAAATGTCGCCTTGACAGAGCAATGGGCAACGGCGACTGGTATGAGATCTTTTCCCATACAAAGGTGGAATACTTAAAACTGTGGGGCTCTGACCACAGACCTATTCTGGCGTCTATTCTCAATAGACCTATGACTTTTGTCAAAAGATTCATGTTCGACAAAAGATGGTTGGGAAAACCCGGCCTAAAGGAAGCCATATGTGAAGGCTGGGGACTTCCGAGATCCACGGCTGGAAGAAGTCTCACACGGAAGATTTTCTCATGTCGAAAAAGAATCTCCATATGGAAGAAAAGTACGAAAACAAACACGGAAAAACTTATTATAGCTCTCCAAGACCAGATTGATAAAGCCCAAGCTGATGACTCAGTGCTCGCAAGAGACCTCCTAGAATTAAAATGGAAACTCTGTGATGCTTATAGAGATGAGGAGCTTTTCTGGAGACAGAAGAGTAGAGCTATCTAGCTAAAAGAAGGGGATAGAAATACGAAAGTTTTCCATGCTACTACGAAGCTACGAAGAGCAAGAAATCGCATCCTTGGAATACTCAATAAAGAGGGCGTATGGATTGATAATGAAGTAGGTATAGAAAGAGTGGTAGTGGATTACTTTACCTCACTCTTTAGTACTTCAGATCCTAGAGACCCTGCGGATGTACTTAGGGACGTTCCCAATATGGTTTCTGAAGCTATGAATGTCTCCCTTACGTGTGAGACTTCTGAAGCAGAGGTCAAAAAGGCCTTATTCTCCCTGCACCCCGAGAAAACACCAGGCCCAGACGGCATGACAGCTTTATTCTATCAAAAATTCTGGGATGTAGTAGGCACATATATAGTTGATATGGTCAAGAGTTTCTTTACCTCCGGAGTTTTGGATGTGAAGTTGAATGAAACTAATATATACTTAATCCCTAAAGGAGAGCGACCAAGAGAAATGTCAGGCTTCAGACCTATTAGCTTATGTAATGTAAGTTACAAGGTAATCTCGAAGATTCTAAGTCTCAGACTTAAGAAGTTCCTTCCGGAGTTGATTTCTGAGACTCAATCAGCCTTTGTTGCAGGACGAATGATCACAGATAATATTCTCATTGCACAGAAAAACTTCCACGCCCTAAGGTCTAACCAACCTTGCCGCAGAAAGTTTATGACCATTAAGACGGATATGAGTAAAGCTTATGAAAGAGTTGAGTGGTCATTCCTCAAAGCATTGATGGAAAAGATGGGCTTTGCGACTAAATGGATCGGGTGGATTATGCAGTGCATCACGACAGTCTCTTATCGTGTACTACTAAATAGAGTACCAAGAGGATCAATAAAACCATCACGGGGAATTAGGCAGGGAGACCCCATATCACCATATCTTTTCATCCTGTGTACTGAGGCCCTAGTTGCACAAATTAGACGAGCAGAGGAGGAAAAACGAATCCAAGGTTTGAGAGTTGCGGCAGCTAGTCCACGAGTGTCACATATGTTATTCGCAGATGATAGCTTGTTTTTCTGTAAAGCCGATTTACAACAGAGCAAAGACCTTATGGAGATTATCCACCAGTATGGTGAGGCCTCTAGGCAACAAATTAATTTTGCCAAATCTTCTATTATGTTTGGCAATGATGTCCCGGGACCTCTGCGCTGTGAGATAAAAACCCTGGTCGGGATAAAACAGGAAGGGGGAATGGGCACTTACTTAGGCCTCCCGGAGAAAATTCATGGCTCAAAAACGCAGGTTTTTGCCTTTGTCCGAGATAGATTACAGAAAAGAGTAACCTCATGGTCCTCACAGTTGCTCTCTAAAGGTGGGAAGGAGGTTTTGATCAAATCGCAAGCTCAAGCCCTTCCGACTTATGTAATGTCGTGCTTTCTTCTCCCGAAAGCTATATGTGCCAAACTTAGTAGCGCTATAGCAAATTTCTGGTGGAGCTCTAAGGAAGACTCCAGAGGGATCCACTGGATGGTCTGGGAGAAACTTTGTACCCAGCTTTGAGATGGAGGACTGGGTTTTAGAAGAATGGAGGATTTTAACGTAGCCTTATTAGGGAAACAGTTTTGGCGCCTCCTCAGATTCCCGGACTCACTTCTAAGTCGAGTGCTTAAAGGGCGGTATTACAAATATTGTAGTCCGTTAAATATCAATGTCTCGAATCGTCCTTCCTATGGCTGGAGGAGTATTATGGCTGCAAAACCACTCATAATCTCGGAAATTTGTAAAACAATTGGTAATGGGTTTGGGACTAGAGTCTGGTCAGAGCCTTGGATCCCAGACCAACCTGCACGCCCACCCAAGAGCCTGGGCGGAGAGATGGATCCACTTTTATACGTCAACTCACTAATAGATTTCAACACGAAATAATGGAAGATGGATTGTCTTAAAGTTTTATTCCCACCAGATGAGATTACCCTCATTTTGGGAATTCGTTCAAACCGATCAGGTTTGAGAGATGGCTATAGTTGGCCCCTTACCAAGACAGGGAATTACACAGTAAAGTCAGGATATTGGGCTGCGAGAGCATTATCTCGTCATGCTCGCGACCTCCCTCTTCAGGGACCATGTACCATGGTACTTAAGGCGCAAGCGTGGAAACTAAAAACTACACGGAAACTCAAATATTTCGTGTGGCAATGTCTTTCGGGATGTTTGGCATCATGCTATAACCTCCACTACCGTCACATTAGCCGCGAGAAAGAATGCCTCCGCTGCGGAGCGGAGGAGGAGACTATTAATCATTTGATCTTTGAATGCCCTCCGGCCAGACAGGTTTGGACTTTATCATCTATACCCTCAGGGCCTGACCAGTTTCCCTCACAGGCGCTATTTACCAACCTTGACTTCCTCTTTTGGAGAGCGAAACAATTAGGCGGGGATGATGAAACAATCCAGGTCTTTCCGTGGATTATGTGGTTTATTTGGAAAGCTAGGAACAGAAAAATCTTTGCGAATGAGGTTGAAGACCCGCAGGAAACGATATCACATGCTATCCAAGAATCGAAGGATTGGAGGGAGGCTAGCCTACGAGACCAGGCAATGACGGAAGAGGTGGACCCTATGGCCGCATCTAGACTTCCTGCGCTTCTAGGGCCGATGTGCTTGACAGATGGCTCTTGGATTGAATCGGATGTCCGGAGTGGACATGGTTCGATAGTGCTCATAGGAAACAGGATAGTACGGATGGGCCTAAAAGGTTCACGTAGATGCTTATCACCTCTACATGCGGAGTTCGAGTCCCTTTTGTGGGTCATGAAGTGTTTAATTTCAGAGGCCATGACTTCTATGTGCTTTGCATCAGACTGCACTGATCTGATCATGATGACTAACAGTCCAGAGGAATGGCCATCTTTTGCTTCCGAATTAGAAGAATTTAGATATTTAAGAGGATTGCTTGTATCTTTTACTATTTCTCATATCCCTCGAGCAAAAAATATCTATGCTGATAAGCTTGCGAAATGTGCAAGAACACGAGATTTCTGTTTTTCCCATGTAAGTTCGGTGGTTCCATCATGGCTTTTTCTTGACGAAAGTCTGATTCCGAATACTTAATAGAATGGTGCTTTTGATGTCAAAAAATATATATAGTTTTTACAAATTCTCAAATATTTCTACATTTTATAAACAAACAATAAACTTATGATCTCCATTTGAACATGACCCAGTTCTCAAAACTGCAGTTAAATCTATGAGTTTTTCAGATAACATATATTGTCCTCTAAGTATATAGATATCACCAAGCTTCTTTAACCAGTAGGGTTTGAATAAATAGAGCTGTAATCATGTGGAGCACGATGAAATAAATCCTACAGTATGCTAATACCAACAACTCTTATTTAAATCACACGCATGTGGAGCACGATGAAAGACTTAGCTGTTAACAGTGGAAGATCGTGGGATATCTTTAATATAATTGGGAACTGTAGAGAGAGAGAGAGAGAGAAGGGAAGAGAAGAGAAGAGAAGAGAAGGATACTGTTAGTTTTAGTTCCAGGACAAGGACATGTAATTCCAATTATGCAACTTGGGAAGGCACTTAACTTGAAGGGCTTCTCAATTACAGTTGCTCAGGGAACTTTCAATGGAGTAGGCTCTTCTTTGCAACAGTTCTCTGGTTTTCAATTTGTCACCATACCAGAGAGCTTACCTGACTTGAAATTCGAAAGACTCGGGCCGGTCCAGTTTCTCATGAAACTCAACAAAACCAGCGAGGCAAGCATCAAGAACTGCATAGCTCAGCTGTTGCTAGAACAAGGCAATGATATAGCCTGTATCGTCTACGACGAGCTCATGTACGTCTGTGGAGATGCAGCCAATGAGTTCAACATTCCAAGTATCATCTTCAGCACTACAACTGCTGCACATAAAGTTTGCTGCAGTGTTTTAAGCAAACTCAATGCCGACAAGTTCTTGATCGACATGGAAGGTACCTACAAAACTAGCTTTATAACTAACCTTGAAAGCTATGTTTAACCAAACACGGTTTCGTTTTTACTCTGCAGATCATAAAGTGCAAGACAAGGTGGTGGAAAATTTGCATCCACTAACATACAAAGACCTACCTACCTTAGGAATGGGACCATTAGATCCATATCTTGAGCTCTGTAGAGAGATAATCAACAAAAGAACAGCTTCAGCAGTCATCATCAACACATCGAGCTGTCTAGTCTCTCTCATGGCTGCAACGACAACTCGGGATTCCAGTGTACCCATTAGGCCCTCTTCACATTACATCTTCAGCAAACTGTAGTTTACTGGAAGAAGACAAGAGCTGCATTGAATGGCTGAACAAGCAGAAACAGAGGTCAGTGATATACATAAGCTTTGGCACCGTGCATCACATAGAGACCAAGGAGATGTTAGAGATGGCTTGGGGAATTTGTAATAGCAACCAACCTTTCTTATGGGTCATCCGACAAGGCTCTGAGTCATTGCCAGAGGAAGTCAGAGAGATGGTTTCAGAAAGAGGATACATAGTGACACAGTCCCTGCAGAAGGAAGTGCTTGCTCATCCTGCAGTGGGAGGCTTCTGGAGCCATTGTGGATGGAACTCAACACTGGAGAGCATTCTGGAAGGCATGCCAATAATTTGCAGGCCTTTTGTTGGAGAACAGAAGTTAAACGCAAAGTATATAGAGAGTGTGTGGAGAATTGGGATGAACCTGGAAGGTGGAGTGGAGAGAGGAGGAGTAGAGAGAGCTGTGAAGAGGTTGATTGTGGATGAAGAAGGTGCAGAAATGAGGGAGAGAGCACTTGTTCTGAAAGAGAAGCTCAAAGTCTCTGTAAGAAGTGGAGGCTCTTCATACAACGCATTGGATGAGCTGGTGAAGATGCTCAAGTTCATGAAATAATTAGAGATCAAAATGAAATGTGTGGATCAAGCTTGTTCTTGCAAAATTTACATAGTACGTATGGTCCTTTTATGAGTATCAATCTTGGCAGTTTTCTCACTTACAAAGAAAAACAATCTTGGAAAATGTAACCTTTCTCACATTTTATGAGAGAAAAATCCAAGAAAAAGTATTAGTTGACTTCGACCATAAAACTCAAATTGAATAATGCAAATGTCACTTAGTCAAAAGACAGAACACATTGGTTCCCATCCAATCAAATCAATTTATAAACCCAAAAAGTTCCTTCATGCTTTGATTGTAGACTGAAAACAGGGGAGATGAGTCTGTTACAACGGTATGAGTTGTAGCTTTGAAGTCTCAATTATAGGATTCTTGTATTATAATCGAGCTTTTATATATGTATTGCAAGATAGTTTCGGATACAAGTAATATAATGGAGTTGTGTATTCAAACTTATCTATTGGAAAAACACACCAGTCGCCAAAACCATTCAACAACTCTTATAACTGCTGTTTTGACGAACTCCAACAACGACACTAACGTTCTGCATCTAAACTATTCGAAAACAATCTGAGAGAGAGGATACATTTTGAAATACTTGCACATGCTGCAGTGGGAGGCTTCTGGAGCCACAGTGGATGGAACTCAACGCACGAGAGCATTGTGGAAGGAGTTCCAATGATTTGCAGACCTTTTCAGGGCGAGCAGAAGTTAAACGCAATGTATATAGAAAGCGTATGGAGTGTAGGAAATCAGATTGAAGGTGAAGTTGAAAGAAGACAGGTTGAGAAAGCTGTGGAGAGGTTGCTTGTGGATGAAGAATGTGCAGGCATGAGGGAAAAAAGCCCTTGATTTAAAAGAGAAGCTCAAAGCCTCTGTGAGAAGTGGAGGCTCCTCGTATGAGCTCATCAACTACTTAGAGATCATTATTGTTTTATTAGATAAAGATTAAGTATTTATCTGCGCTAAACTGTGAGATATTTTTTTAATTTTGTATATATTTTTAATATAATAAAACTATTTTTATAATATAAATGAGTATTATATTTTTTTATTAGCTTAAGTTATGTATTTATATGTTTTAAATCTAAATAAATATTATATATTCTTAATATTTTTATTTTTTAAAATTATAATTTACTATTAAATTTGTTTAGCTAACTAATTATAAATATATATGTAGAATTAAAGCAATACATTTTAAGTACATTCATGTTAATGGCAAATGTAATCTATTTTTTCTAATAAATTGCCACTTAATCCTCTCTTGTAATCATATAAAGCAAATTGTCATTTTAAAAAAAGTTTTATTAATTAATATGATTATTTTGAATTATAAAATTCATTTATTTATCAAATATTTATTATAAACATATGTTTCTAAAATTATCAAACTATAATCAATAACATTCATATCAAAACCATTGCTACTGCTTTAGAACTAAATAGAAAATTATGTTTGAACTGTCGAAATATCGTTTTAGTTAAAATTAAATAATTAAATTTTGGTTACTGTCAGCATACTTTTACTTAGAAATTTAGCACAGAGAAATTTCATTTTCCTACAAAAACCGAGAAATCGCATTTTCCGTCAAAACAAAAAAACTTCATTTTCCCATGAAACTGAGAAATCGCATATTCCCATCAATAAAAAAAAAATCATTTTCTGGTCAAACATAAAATTTCATTTTCCCACCAAACAGAAAAATTGTATTTTTTCGCAAAAACCAAGAAATCACATTTTTCCGCAAAAACTTTTTTTTCTCGCCAAATTCGAGAAATTACGTTTTTAAACCAAAACAAAAAAAATTTCATCTTCCTGCAAAAACTAAAAAGAAATTTCTTCCCGTTAAAACCAAAATAAAAATTATTTTCCCATGAAAACTTAGAAATCGTCTATTTCCGTCAAAACCAAAAAATTCATCTTCTCGTTAAACCAAGAATCACATTTTTCTATCAAAACAGATAAACTATAATTTCCCGCAAAAACCAAAAATTGCATTATTTCCCGAGAAATTGTGTTTTTTTTTTGTGAAAACTAAGAAATCACATTTTACCGAGAAAACAAAAAAATATAACATTATTTGTAAAAAACTGAAAATTTGCATTTTCCATCAAATCGAGAAATTGTATTTTCTGCTAAAATCATCATATTGCAATTTTCTGCTAAAATCATCATATTGCAATTTTCCGCAAAAATTAAAAAATCATATTTTCGCACGAAAACCAAGAAATCGTATTATCCAACAAAAGCCGAAAATTTGCTTTTTCTATCACAACTAAGAAATCACATTTTTCGTCAAAACTAAAAAATTGCATTTCACATAAAAACAGAAAATTGCATTTTCTCCTCGAAACTAAGATATTTTGTTTTCTCATCAAAATCAATTTTTTTTTTTGTTTTCTCACCAAAATCGAAAATTCACATCCGAGAATTCGCTTTTATCTGCCATAACCTATAAATTATGTTTTGCTACCAAAACTGAAAATCACATTTTCTTAATGAAACCAAGAAATCTCCTATTCCCAGCAAAACAGAGAAATTCCATATTCCCGCCAAAGCAAAAAAAAATTGTTTTCTCATCGAACCGAGAAATCGAGTTTTTTCTAACAAAAATGAGAAATTGCATTTTTCTGCCATGATCGTCAAATTGCGTTTTTTTGCAAAAACTGTGAAATTGTATTTTTCTGTGAAAACCAAGAAATCGCATTATCTATCAAAAACAAAAAATTGTGTTGCCCATCAAAACCGAGAATTCGCATTTCCTGTCAAAACCCAAATATTTTGTTTTCCCATCATAACCGAAAAATGTTTTCCATCAAAACCGAAGAAATTTATTTTTTCATCAAACCAAGAAATCGTTTTTTCTGTCAAAACCGAGAAATTTCCTTTTCACGCTAAAACCGGGAAATTTCATTTTCTCGTCAAAGCCGAGAATTTTCATTATCCCAAGAATTTTTGTTTTCCTGTTCAAACCATGAAATATTGCTTTCACATCCAAACCGAGATATAGAGCGAAGACCGAGCTGCAAACATAGTTGATTCCGGCATTTCCGATGTCAATGGCGCTGAAGTTTTCACGAATGACTGGGGAGGAAGGCCGAGCTACAGAGCTGCGAAAGTGGAGACAAAGCAGCAGAATAATTGAAACCATAAGAGATGGAAAGATCTCATGTGAGGCTTAGTGACAAAGAATAATCAAAAGTTATTGATTTGTTTTCAGTAACCACCGGAAGTGCAAATCGCCAAGTTTTGGTGTTATGAGTTTCTCCTCCTTTGCTTTCAGCATCTATTTTTTGTAAACTTTCGGTTTTTCAATGGATCAGCAAAATAGTAAGCTGATTTTATTATTGTGTTGATGATATGTATTATTGTTATGTTTTTATTTGTTTAACTTTTTGTTGATGTGTCAGTTTCTTATAACTTAAAAAAACTTATGTGCCATCTCTTGTAGAGACACTGATATTTTTATAGTATTCAAAAACAGAAAAATTACTTTGCCCATCAAAACCGAGAATTTGCATTTTCTGTCAAAACTGAAATATTTTGTTTTCCCATCATAACTCTAGAAAATTTTTTTCCCGTCAAAACAACAAACAGAGAAATCGCATCTTCCGTAAAAAAAAGGGAAATTTTATTTCCCACCAAAACAGGGAAATCTTATTTTTCCGTCAAAACCGAGAATTTTTATTTTTCCAATTTTTTTTGTTTTTTTATTCAAACCATGAAATTTTGCTTTCACGTCCAAACCGAAAAACTGAGTGAAGACCGAGCCGGAAACAAAGGTGATTCAGGTGTTTCCGATGTCAATGGCTCCGAGATTGAAGTTTTCATGAATGACTGGGAGAAAGCCCGAGCTACAAAGCTGTAAAAGTGGAGACAAGGCAGCAGAATAATTGAAACCATGAGAGATGGAAAGCTCTGATGTGAGGCTTAGAGGTGGAGAATAATCGAAAAGTTATTGATTTGTTCTCGGTAACTACTGGAAATGTGAATCTCCAAGCTGTGGTGGTCTGAGCTTCTCCTCTTTGCTTTCGACTTCTATTTTTTGTAAACTTTTGACTTTTTAATGGGTCAGCAAAATATTAAACTGATTTTATTATTGTGTTGATGTATGTATTATTGTTATGTTTTTATTAGTTCAAATTTTTGCTGATGTATGAGCTTCTTATAATACAATACTTTTTGCGTTGTTGTCATGTATCACTCGATTCTATGATCTTAGGATACATATTTCCTTCTTCGAGTTTCAGTTTTTATTTACTTGTGTATGCCTTCGTTTGTGTTTGTCGATCTCATCACGTGATGCAACTTTGTTTCTGAATACTAGTTACTGTTTCATATGAAAGATAATTTGAAGTAAAGCTGAATACTTTAGCTTGTAACAATTCTCGAGATGTCTGCTACCTTTTAAATAGTTGTTTCAGAATAGCATCCGTGGCTTCAAGAAGTAGACTTTTGAGATGGATTTAAGAATGCTAGTAAACCTTCACTGAATTTACAACGGAGCTGCTTTCAAATAGACTATTATGTTCTGTCTTTTGTTGTTTATGTGATTTGCTGAATGGAGTTTTCGACATTATGATCATCAGGAGGATGCTCCCAAGCCTGGACAACCAGGACAGGCCCCTCGTCCAGCTGGACCTGGAGCTGGAGCTGCACTGCGTGTCTGAAGCCTGCCATATTTTTCTTTCTTATGTTTGGTTCAGATTATATTACCATGTGAATCTCCTCTTTCGACTTTGTTTTATTTATTAAACCGATTATCACATAAAGTTTTCCAAACTTTTTAATCAACCTTCTGTCTTGTTGTTCTTCATCTATTCAATGCTCTGTTTTAGTATTATCAAGTTTCCAACATCTCACAAATCCATGATTGTACCCAAATCCAAAATCTAAATCTAATACTTTAAGTGTTAGTGATTTAAATTCAGTTGACAATAATCGTTTTGTTTTTAGTGAAAATAAAATATTTTGATTTATTATGAAATATAATTTACCCAAATTAATTTTAAAACAATAAGTTAAAAACAGAAAATCCATTTAAAATTGATTTTGTTAGATATATTATACGTGATTACCAAATTGTAATTAGAAATCTGATATTTAAATCAGCTGTAACTAATTTTTTATGCCATATATTGAATGTTTTGATTCAAAAATAAAACAAAATCAATAATATTTTATCATGGTAGATAGCTTTATAACATCAAAGAAAATAAAATTAAAATATATATATAATCAAGCTTATAGTAGAATTCGTAAATGTTTCATAATATTTTTTATAGAATTTGGAAATTAATTTATATTATAAAAAAACATATAATGATTATTTTAAATTATTTTTAATTCTCGTTAATGAATTTATAATGTGGTTGGTAATTAAAGTTAAAGTAATCTAAATAAATAATATTTAAAAATAACTATGTTTGTTAATAAGTATATAAGAATTAAATAAGTAAATAAAACTAAAATCAAATGACATCATAAATCTTAATGAATTTGGTAATAATTATATGAAAATTAAAAAAAAAACTAATATCCCCTTAATCTTAATGAACCTCTACGAAATTAATGAATATCTAAAGGGATATTGTATAATATGACACATCATTAAAGGTTAACCAATGAAAGATCCTCTTTTACGAAAAATCGTGTTATCAAAGAAACTTATCTGAAACATTGATAAACAAGGGGAATGTTGAGTTCGTATGTCCTAATCAGAGACGAAATAGGAGTGAGAGTGGCCGCCGACAAATGAAGTTATAAATAGAGATCAAGTTGCTCTCTAGTGCTCTGTAAACGAAACGATAAGAAGCCCTAGAGAGAGAGAGAGAGAGAGAGAGAGAGA